TGCATAAATACATAAATACACACTATTACACAAATACAGAACAGTTTACAAACAATGCCACTGTCGGTCGCCACTGTGCAGCGCCCTTTAATTTGAGCTAGGGTTTTCGTGTCTTGCTCAAGGACACACTCCAGTGACCACCCATCTGATCCCCGTGTCACCGACACTTGCTTGACATTACTTGAGTCTAAACTCACTACTCACTCAGCCACTGGGGCCCCCAGTATACACAGTGTCAGCGAATACAAATAAACAGGTCACAGTGTTGGCGAGCCTGAACGCTGCGAGGTTCTACCTGCCTCCACTGCTGATCTATCCGATCCTTACATAAGGATACCCGGAAAGAACCTGCTGGAAGGTTTCCCTGAGTCTTTGCTGCAGGTCAGAAAATTAGTAAGTTGTCCAGTGACGCTTTTTTAGTTAGTTTTGTTGTTAGTTTAGTACCCGGTAAGAGTATTACATCATTTACAACACAAAATAGGTCATGATGTAAGTGCCGAAGATTAGAAGCGTTACTAGAGAGTAACGAACATAAAAAAGAAGTAGGAGAGAAAAGGATGATAGATGTTTGATATGAAAGATGGAGCAAACCACACCAGAGCATCCGCCAACCACCCACTACATCTACGCTTTTCTAGAATTTAAGATAATGAATTGTTTCAGCTGTCCAGTGAGGCCTTAATTTTTACATTTTTGGATAGTGAAGTGTTATACGTTTTTTTTAAATACTCTTAAAAAGTATACAAATGCCATAAAAGGCTGTGTCCTACAGCCTCCATAATATAGACAAATAAATTAAACTTACAAACTTAAAAATGTTCTTTCACAAGTTGATGTTCTGGTGTAATACATAGCTTAACTACTCCTGCAGGTATCCGACAACGGCTGGATCACCTCAGACATTTTCTTCACCTGGCTGAGGGACTCCGTCATCCCAGTAACAAAACCCATCAAGAAGCCTCTACTGTTGCTGGCCGATGGCCACGTAAGCCACAAATCGCTTGTGGAAACCTCAAAGATTTGTGAGGAGAATGAGGTAATTCTATATTGCCTCCTCCTGCCGCACGCCTCCAATCTGGTCCAACCTCTGGACCAGGCATTTTTCGGATTAGTCAAGTCGGCGTGGTCATCAGGCAGCGCCACATTGCCGAGACAGGAGATGCCCTCGGCCTCGACACATTTGCCAAAGTTTTTCAGCCTGTTTGGCAAAGCTGCGCAACCACTGCCAACGCAGAGTCCAGCTACAGGGCTGCTGGCATTTTCCCCTTCTCACCGGAAAGAGTCCTCAACACCAAAAAAATGCAGCCGTGCCAGGTGTTCCGAGACTTTGTCTCCACCGGGCCGGTTCAGCCCCACCCTGAGGCACCTACTGCATCGCAGCCCCCCGTCTGTTCCCCCTCCGTGGCACTTGATTTGGATATCGTTCCTTATGTACTCTCCCTGCTTGAATCGCTTCTGGAAATTCTACCTCAGGAAATTTCAAACCTACCTCCAAGTCGGGAGCCAACGACCCCATCACCATCAAGCAGCGGAGTCCAGACCTCAGCGCCAAGTCCCAATCACAGTACGGCCCCAGAGCAAGAAAACGCCTTCACCCTCAAACAGTTGGAGGCAATGCCCAACTTCGCCCTTTTCGTCGTGGACGACCTAGGAAGGAATGCGTTCTTGAGGTGTCATCAAGCCCTCACAAGAGACACCTCAGAGAACCACAAGGGGTTTACACAATTTAAAAAGCTAATTTGAAATCATCTTTCGAAACTCCAAAAACTCGCCACCGAGTCCAGAGCACCCCTTACCATGGATGACCTCCTCAGTCTCCCCAACTTCTCTGGCAAGGGAAAAAAAAAGGGCATGAAAAAAGCAACACCAACAATGCAGTATGTGCGCAGTGGGGCAGAGCACCGGGAAGCCATCAAGCTCAAGGATTGTGCCCGAGAAAAGGAAGAGAAGGAAAAGTTGGCAAGGAAGACCGTAAGAGAAGAGAAAGCGAGACAAAGGAGAGAAAACCAGGAAATGATGAAAGTGCGGAAGGAGATGGTGAAAGTGGCAAGACAGGAGAAGGCAGCAGAGTTGCAGCGCAAGCGGCAGGAAAAGAAGGACCTGGCATTGCTGAAGAAGATCGAAAGGGAGGCGCAGAGGAAAAGAAAATGAAGCGACAGCGATGAGGATGAGATTGAGAATGTGGCGGTGGAGATGGAACGGACCATGAGAGAGGCAGATGAGGAAAGTGGTGAGGACGTATTGTTCGAGGAAACAGCAGATGACAAGTGTAAGGAGTGCTGAGAAAAGGGACATCAGGCTGAGCTGTTTGTAGCCTGTGATGCAACTATTTTTGTTTTAGTTATGAAATTTATACTGAGTCTGGTTACATCGTTTTGTTGATGCAAGACCGTAAGAACTAATTCTCTCTTTTTTCCCCAAACCCACGCTTTGACAAAGTGAAACTAGATGTTTTCTTTTCCTCAATCCTTTCCGAGTTTTTCAATAGCAATAAAAAGTAAATATAAATGAACGAAACAAAACTGAGGCACCCTATCACAGCCGTCATATAGGGGATACGTCCGCAAGGGGTGTGGACTCGTGCCGATATATCGGCGATACGTCCGCAAGGGGTGTGGACTCGTGCCGATATATCGGCGATACGTCCGGAAAGAGTTAAAAAGGGGAGCTTGGAAACTGCCAGTGCAAACCGCGCGCTACCCAAAATCATCACTATTTCTAGAATCACTATCAGATGATGCGGGGGGCATCCCCCTTGCGAGGTCAAACAAGATGGCTGTTACTATAAATATCGGCCAATGGCATTTAGCTGTCATTCTCTAGCTATTTGCTTGTCACTCTTCCTGTCACAGGCCGACTCTTCGAGAAAATAAATTTTCTCCATCCATAGGCCTACATTATGGTGATTATTACGTTTGCTATTCAGGGCACGGCGGTCATGCCATTGCCATATAGGCACAGATTGTTGAATTTGATGGTGTCTTCCAAGCCTTCTAAAATAAAAATTGAACTTAAAAATTAAGATGTTCATCCCGATACCAAGTAAAGAACTCATGGGCCTGTTCTTTACATCAAGTATTGAGCTGATAAATGCTGGCTCTAATATCTAATTACTTTGAAACGTGGATAAAACAAAGTCATCGGACCTGACCTTCAGTTTGGTTGACTCCAGGTCTTGTAGCAATGTGAGCAGCAAGTTGCTTTATAGTATTGTGTATGTAGGGCCTACTACCGTAATGAATGGCCACATTTGGTTCTCCAGACCAATGCGCCATTCATTGCGGGGTTCTCTATGTCTAAGAAAAATCCGTTCCATTCCGAGGGTTTCACCTGTCTAAGACGGAAAATGCTTTGCCCGTTCAGCCCTGATTTGAAACAAAACTCGCAAGTTTGGTTCCCCCGGCTCTAAACTTAATGCCATGGCCATGCCACTTGGCGAGGAAGGGGAGTAGGGGTGCAATTTGGGGGTAGATGTTAACCCATCATGTGAGCCCTGAGCGATGCAGATGGTCAGTGTAGTGTGGGTGGGAAATCTCACGACTGCCCGTGAGGAGAATGCGAGCCACGACCCGATGTGTGTTCACCGTTTACTGCATTGGCTCAGGTCGATCACGCCAAGTAGAGGGCGAGCTTTTTTGGTATTGTCACCGGGTGAGTGTTCACCGTGATACCAGTGTAAACAAAAGTTCCAGCGCTCTTGTGTTGAAAGCGAGCAATTTTGTGTGCAGGCAGCGAGGGGGGGAGAAAGAGAGAGAGAGAAGGAGTAGCAAGAACTTCCGGGCAAAGCAAAATGGCGACCAAAGTAGTTTGGCTTGATTCAAAAAGTGAAATAGCTGTAGCATCTTTGTAGACGACCAAATTAGTTTACTTTTGTGCCATAACATCATTTTTTCCTTGTTTTTGTCAATTTGATCACCCACACCGATAGACAGTACATGTATTGAGAAATTAGGAAAAACAGGTCTTGCTTCTTTCACTCGGGGTGAGAATAGCCAACGCTGGCAAGTCTCACCTGGGGTGAGAGGTCAATCGTTTTAATATTCTCCCTTAGGGTGAGAATAGTCATTTCCTCACCTGAAACCGTTGTGCGTGGGTACACAACAGTACTTCTTGTAAGATCTTTCTTGAGAAAAATGTCTGTATGAAAAGTGTTGAAGTTGAAGTCAAATTATGCATTCGTGAAAACTTGTATTGTCTTAATAATATTGCTGAAGAATTCGCTGCAAAGATATATTTTCAAATATATGCACGTTTGTACCTTCCTCAGAGCATGAAGAAAAGTGTTTCAAGGTCCTAGACTGATCAAGCCACCAGCTGCAATGGCTCTCACTTTCTGCAGAAGCTCAGCCATGAGGGTGCCTCTTGTGGCAGTTGTCAACCACTCAAAGACATTCGTGCCTCTCCGAAACAAGACTTATGGGAGGAGCACTGCAGTCTTTCATGAAAGAAATAAGAAAGGAACAGACAGTGATGAGAAGAAGATGCCTTTCAGGAAAGCTTTCAAGGAAGCAATGTATAGATTGGGCCCTGAGACAAAGCTGTTCTTGAAAGAACAGAGGGAAGCGTATGCCACCAATCCAATGCTTGGCTTGGAGCATGGCAATTACGAGGTTATATACAGGTAATCTGTGAGCTGCAGTATTATGTGTGCCTTGAGTTTTTAGCTTATTTTTCTGTTAGTGTGGTGTCTGTCATGCATGGTGGAATCTGACGCTCATCAAAATAACGAAATCCGAGAAAGCAACATTTTTTCCCCTCCCTTTGGACAATTTTTATGGTTTTTTTTTTTTTTTTTTTTTTTTTTGGGGGGGGGGTCTCCACTTCTTTTAACATATATATATATATATATATATATATATATATATATATATATATATATATATATGTCCACTTAAAAACATTTACCTATTGATTTTATTGAAAAGGCTGTTCAATGGCATAAAAATTGTTTGAACTTTCAGTTTCGAAGGACACTCAGACTTTGGAAGTTAGTTACCAAACTGAGACGGTCATTCTCTCACTAATTTTGCCTCTGGCCTCAGGTGACCCCCCACGTGCTTTATCCTCAAAAACTCAACTTCTATGGCTATGTTTTAATCAAAAGCAAAGGCAAGCTTTATGATTATATCAGTAACTCCATATGCTCAAAAATTGACGAGTACCTGACTCCACCATTGTATTGTCTGTTGAGATGACCTTCAGACTTTTTGTATGGCGGGACAATCGCTAGCTGGCAGGGTCAGATGTGGAAGAAAAAGGGGATTACCACTGCACGACTGCTGAGTGGGTGCCATGTGAATTACAATTTAAGGTGTATCCTTGTATTTATGGTAATTCTCATTTAGTGCACCCAAAGCACGCATTTCTGCTCTTGAGACTCAAAAAAGAACGGACGTTGTAACTTGTTTGATTAAATTAAGCATCTTCTTTCACAAACTGCTCTTCTTGAATGCCGGGTGGGAAAAGTAAAGAACATAGAAATGCAACCTCATGGTAAGTGTGACATGTGACAGTAATACTGAGCATCAATGGTCATGTCTGCTCTTTATGTGTTGTTAATGTTGGGATGGAGGAAACTGTGCAGTCATTTGGCTCGTTCTTCTTGATGGGGGTGTTATTTTGATGTGTCCCAGAGCATAACTCTTCAAATCTAGCTCAAAAACAGGATTATGTGTTGTGACTGGTGTGTCAGTAGTAAATTTGATTGTTAGTATATACTTCTACAAAAGGTATAAGTGTGATATTAGTCAACAGTGAAACCCAGTTATATCGCCAAACTTGGGACAAGCATGAAGTTGACAGTATTGTGTGGCTGGCTGTGCAGCAGGGTTTGGACTGTCCCCTGTTGTTACTGTTAGTTTTTAAAATATCGCCATCTAAACTCAAGGGAAATAATTTTGCCATGACTACATGGAAGAAAGTGGAAAATTGAGTTGTTTCCCTTCGTCCAAACTTGAGATGACCTTCAGACTTTTTGCATGGCTGGACAATCGCCAGCTGGCAGGGTCCGATGTGAAAGAAAAAGGGGACTACCACTGCACGGCTGCTGAGTGGGTGCCATGTGAAGTGTGCATCTCTGGCTGCCAGTTTGCTGGCAATGACGTGTGGGGGGGGCAAATTTTTATATAAGTTTATACAATTCAGTTATTTTAAGCAAGTTGGGTTTTTTAAATTTTAAATAGGCGTTCTTTTCCAAAATGTTTTATTAGAAAATTCTTGAGAACAGGCAAATCAAGAGAGTAAAGACCATGAACATGTTCATTTTCAAAATGTAGATTACGAATAGGAAATTGAGTTTAGTAGTGAAGGAGTTGAAATGTTTAGAGATATTTTTACTGAAATAGCAATTCAAATTACATCCGATTTAATCAGCCATGACGCCAAAGAAACGAACTTGCTCACTTTTTTAGTCTAGGAACTTCACTGCAGGCTGTACTTGTTCAAAAAGCAAGTATAGATTTAAATACAACTTTGATGAGATGACCATCTTTTATTTCCCAAGGTTCAACGACCCTTCCTCCGTGTCCAGCTGGGTGGCCACTGCTGACTCAGACAATCAGGAAGGAAAAAGTTCAGCAAATTTCACCTTCAGCAAAAACAGGACAGGCCTCTTCCATGGATTTCTGAATAAAGAAGTGCCAAAAGATGGTGTCACAAAATATGCAGGCTATGCAAATATCTCTGCTCCTAAACCTTATGTAAGAGTCAGTTACCTCTTCTGAATACAGTGCAGTCCACTGAAACAAACATTTCTCACTGCTAGATTGTTATTGGTTTGGCCAAGTTCTTGGTCTTGACGTTGCTCAAATAGAAAGAAAAAGTCGAGCATTTTATTTTCTTTGGGTTTACTGCTATTTTCAGATTAGAACATAGATCTATATATATGTTCAGCTTTAGCAGACGGCGCAGTATTTTTTTAAAATATTTTACTTCTTTATTATTGTTATACCCAGGAGATGATAGGCTTAGGATTTGACCATTTCGCTTACCAGGTACCTCAATAACATAAAGGCTTAGAATTACCTTTTCATACTTTCTGATTTCTTTTATCCAGAAAATTCAGTATGGTTTTTCTGAGTGACTTCTCACTTAATGTTACTGTTCCAGCTCAATTCAGGAAGTGGAGAAACTTTATGAATGTTTTGTGAGAATGTAAGACGTACCACTGTGGTTTTGTTCCACTTACACACCAGTATACTATATATACTTAGTTTCTGCTATTTCTGTGCATTAAAGATTAGTTAAGGCCACGTTTAAAGTTCATTGGAGAGAGAATAGTTCATTGATGGAATATCTTGTTGCCTGTTTACTATTTCTGTGAAACAGAGCCTTACCCTCTTACGTAAAAATAATTTTGCCCATTTTTCAGTCCCTTATATTATAATAAGGGGTAAGCTCATTATCAAAAACATTTTATATACAGATTGTGTTCTTATTTTTGATCTAGAAATCATTTGGGAGAGAAACATCGTATGATTGGTCCCTCTTCAACTGCATGTTGCTACGGATACGAGGTGATGGCCGTCCATATTTGATTGTCATTGGCTGTGATTTCTACTACGATGTGAACTGGCTGAATCGCTGGTCGTGCCCTCTCTTTACAAGAGGTGGCCCTTACTGGCAGATTGTAAAGGTAGAAGATTAGCTTTTGGTGTTCTCTCTTTGAAGTTTTTATTTTGTTATATTACAGTGGTGCTGATTGGGGTGACAAAGTCATCATTTGAGGGCTGATTCTCACAGAGTGATTGGCACATGATGTTGTCAGTTGATTGTTGACTGCATGAAAACTTGTTGAATTATTGCACAAAGTTCTTTATACAGTATAACACTGATAGGTTGAACACAGAAGACTTGAAATCACGCATCCGTCAAACTGTGCCTGCGGCCCCGGTTTTTTTTTCTTCTTTATCTTGGTAAGAAAATTATGCGAAGCTCAAGCACAAATATATAATAGTCGAACTAATGACGCCTCTGTAGAGGTCTAAAGTCAATTTCCTTTGAGGTGCACTTGAGACAAAATGATAATGATAATTTATTTTTTTTTACGGCAAAAGGTTAGGTGGGTGAAATTATACCACTTTTCCTCCTCCCCAGAAGCAGCTAGATGGGCTATTTTTAGCTCCCTGCTCGACTCGCTTGTCTAATCCCTAGTCCTAGCAAGGCTTGTGTGGAGTGGGCGAGAGTAAGGGTTGTGCATCACACGACCAATCGACCCAACTGTCTTCGCAAAGGACTGCATGCTTGGTGGGAGAGGAGGGGAAGGGCTGCATTGTTATGTCTTTTTGCGTTGTTGATTACTGTTGCGATATGCTCATCCTATCAAATTGTTTATGTTTAGGAAAATATGAAAAGGCACCGTTCGATTGGTGTAGACAAAAGACTGCTCACACCGACCCACGCAATTAAACTGTCTGGGTAACGGTAGGCTCATTACCTATCGAACTGGAAAGCGTTGCTCATCGTTGTTTTGCCCCTACAGTAGCAATCTTTTGTATCTTTCCTTGATTTTCTGACACAGCGGATGCCATAACACTGTTCAGGTGTCCTTCAAACTACCGAGACTGGTCCCGACGAATTCGAGCTATCTATGTTATACTGTATTGTGATGCCTCTATTCTGTTCATATTTTCTTGCATCTGGACCATAGGGCAGTATGTTTTGATTATTCTTTAAATTTAAAAAGAGAATATTGAAGCTGAAGTAGAAATTCCTCAGCAGATGGATTTAGCACTCTTGTCAACTTGGTTGTAGATTATTTAGCTCAATTTAAGAGGCTGGAGTTCATAATTTATGCTCATCTCTAAAAGTTTTGAATTCTGGTTTCTGTATATTCGAGTCATTTGAATTTGATCCATTTGAAATAGTGAGACCATATTGAGGTGCTGACTTTCTCTGAGTATTTCTCTTTCCATCTACGATGCTGTGTTTTCTTTATTTCAAAAGAGTAGCACTAAGTTTCTATCTCTTCATCTGCAGATCCCATTCTCAAAATTCTACACAACCCACTCTGGGAGGATACAAGACAAACAGGAGTACTTGCCCCTGAACGTCATCAACAGCGTCGGCATTACAACTGCTGACGCCGCTGAGGGGCCGTTTTATCTGGAGATAGACAGCATCGCTCTCATGTACGACATCAATCTCTCGGGGAAACATGCGTACGAACTGTACCAAAACAAATACTATGAAGTACAGAGCTGACATTTAGGGTTTTGTAGTTGCTGTTTAGGGATGGGAGTTTGTTGGGTTTTGGGTTGCTGGTTTTTTTAAAACTCATCGACCTCTTCAATGACGAAAATTCTTCCCAAGTTTACAGGAGGTGAGGCAGGGAGATTTTATTGCTTTGGTCTCTGCATATTCCCATGGTGTTGAAGATAGGTACAATGCCTCTCTCTTACGGACAGAAAAAAAAACCACTTAACAATTCGTGTTTGCAGTTACCACTACGCCGTGTCAAAGATATGGTTATGTCTCAAAAACTGATTTTCAGATGATACTGATGGAAGTGTTACTTAGTTCATGAAATGCTGTCAGTGCAAGGGTTCTGGACCGTTTGTGTGTGTTATATGACACTAAGTGAAAGTATTCCTGTGTTCAGGGCACGTGGTCTTTGAGTAGAATGTAGGGACACACTTGTCAGGAGGCAAAAAGTTCACCTCTCATGCCAAAGTATATCTAGTTAAAGTTTGCTCAGTCAGTTTCATGAAAGATGAATTTAGATCTTTTAAATTTTTCACATCCCCTACTAGAAGCATAGGTTGGACCTTGGCTTTTTCAGTACAGACAAAAAATATGAGGTCCAGTCAGTATGTATACATGTTAAAGACTGTGGTGATTGGAGGTTTTTGATGAGCAGGACTGTGAGTGTGAAGGCCAACTGCCTGGAGACCCTTGTTTGTCAGTGAATGAATGAGTTTGGCATGACTCGACCGACACTTCTTGTTGTTTTTGAATTGAGGATTGTACATAATGATACATAAACAAACGTTTCTGTCACATTTGTGTTACGTTTTATCTTTTTTAATGTAGTGATGTGTTTGTGAGGCATCGCAGTGAAATCAGGTGCTCGTCAAAATAATGAAATCGAAGAAAACGGCATTTTTCTCCCAATTTGGCAATTTTTATCAAATTTTTTATTTTTGGCTCAGCATCTTTTATGTTCATTTCAAAAGACATTTCTTTGTAGATTTTATTGAGAAACCTTGATTAAAGGCCAAAAAGTTGAAACTTTTCAGTTTCCAAGAACTCTCAAGCTTTGTAAGTCCCCAATCTTTGGCGGACATTTTCTCGCTGACCAGGCGACTCCCATCTCCTCCAATCGTGTATAACTTGACTTCTATTCAAGATAGATAGGTACTTTTTTTGTCGAAGACAAGACAAGCGAACAAGCTTTAAGATTATACCAATGACTCCACAAGCCCTAAAATTGACGAGCGCCTGATTCCACCTTGTTGTGAAACATTTTATCCCTTTATGTACCATACCCATTAGTACTGCTGTACACAGTGGACTGGACTTTAACTACAGTTGAGACTGATCGAAAGAAGATGAGACTACCCGATGCAGATGCTGTGGACCAAGCTCTTCTGATGTGGTTTAAGGAGGCAAGGAGAAAGTTGGTGCCAAAACCCCAGTTCGTGGGTACTTGTGGCAAAGGAAACTACCCATGAATAAAAGTACAGCTGGATAAGTCCACAAATGCTTACTTTCCTTGCATTTCTGATTTAACAGGGATCGGATATAACAGGACATTTTCTCTACTCCCACCACCCCTGTCATATCAGGTTTCCACTGTACAAAGGAGACAGGTTCTCTACGCTGATCCTGCTTACCTTGAGGCTTGATGAATGTATAAATGTATACAAAATGTATACAAAGACTTGATTTCACTGCACTTTGTTCCTAAACGAACAGTTTGTGTTTGGGTTTTTTCTTTCTTTTTTTATTTAATGTAATTTGTATGCTAACAACCGGCATCTAAGATGTAGCAGTTAGGAGGCTGGCTATCGCTCCTAAATGATCCAGATTGTGTTGACGACATCATAGACAACACCTACACCTACATTAAAATGTTTGGGGTTTTTTTTTTCAATTTCAATTTTTCATGCAATTCTCTGGGTTTGTCCCGTTCATAGAATATGAAAGTACATGTACCAGTGTCTGTGGTGAAGCAGTTAGATGCAGCACCATCACACGCAAAAGACTTGAGTTCGATTCACGTGTGGGAAAATTCTTATCGAATATCTCAGTCTTTCTTGTTACGACGTTCTACAAATACTACAATGTATCATGTATCCCTCTTAGCTCAGGTTGGTCCTACTCCATTTGTAAATCTAAGTAAGAAGAATGATACAGTCCTGGACCGAAACATCAGAGGAACCCTCAAATTTCCAGAGAGGACAAGAAAAAAAACATTGCAAACAAGTATTGCAAGACTTATTTATTTCTACATTTATTTATTTAAAACATTTCATGCAGTCTAGTTTAGTAGAGTTTTTTCGGTGCTCGCAACTGCATAAGTGCTATAAAGTGTATGAGCGCCAAGGGGTGGATATCAACAGAGAAGTCCTTACAGTACAGGGAATCAGGCTTACTCTGCCCACCTCTCTAGCTTCAACAGCACAAAGTCTGCTTCGACTATCAAGGCACCCCAAAAATAGCAGGTCATAAGAGTGACAAACATGATACAAAAAAGAAGAGGAAAAAATACTCCCTCAAATCATTACATGATGAGAGTTGACAAACAGATCAGCAGAAGAGACGAGATGACATCTGCCTACAGTGTAATCATTCAACAAGAACACTCATCTACTGACGTCATAGTCACATGAACAGACTTTAACTTTAAGGCACAATTTTCACACACAGTGAGTGAGAGTATGGCTAACCATGTAAACTACAGTCAATCTCTGTCAAATATACAACACATCCTTGTTTAACACAGACCACGTGAGGGTAAATGGGTGGGTGGGGGAGGGGGGTGTCTGCTTATCGGCTTTAGCTAGTCCAAGATAGCCTCGGATAAAAGATAAAAGATTGTAGTAAATATACTGGCTGATCGATTCACGGCTGTCGACTGGAACAATAATAAAAATTGCCGAGCCGGCCACAGCATGAACTGACACTCTGCAGTCAGGCAAAAGGACCAGTCCATGCTGACAGCCAGGTTAGTGCCCACAAGCACACAAGAGTAAGACATTTATTTGGATCACAAACTGCTGGCTAATCAAACATCCACAGCCACTCTTTTCATGGAGATTTCATCTAGTAACCTAATGTCCCAATGAAGAAAAGAATGACCTGTGCAATAATTTCCCTTTTCCACAGTCAAAAAGTCACAAAAATTGCACTATGACTCTGAAAGTGAAACATTCCTTCACCAGAGCTAAACAAGAATATCATACATGTACAATAAACTAAGATCAGTGAGAGTACTGATAGTTTCAAAAGGACATCACAGACAAATTAGAAAAATTTAGTTAACATTAACAACTTTTATTTGCAACATGAAAACCACACCAAAGCACCTCTCTCCTCAACAAAAAGCTGACCAATTCGTAGCCCTAATTAAAATGTTCTATTTGAACGTGGAATACAGTTGGGCATGGATAATTCAAACACGTTCCGGATTGACAAAGGTGTTCGACACATCCATAATTCAGCAAAAAGTTAAAGAGATATCGGTCAGTGAATGGCAAACTGTACAAGCTACGGCATCCGTGGTATTCTGTGCCTGACTGTACTTGAGATATCTGCTTTAACCCTGTAGACCTGAGTGAGCCCTAACTTGACCGTTGTAAGCACCAAACACATGTAGTTGATGTAGTGGTTTAAACCTAGCGGTCAACGCAACAGAACTCCGGTGTTGGTGTCCTGAGGGCTCAGGGGACCATGGCAAGGAGGGTAAAGGTCACGGCGGACACAGAGCGAGCAAGATATATATAGACTTGTTTCTTACAGAGAAAACCATGTTGAATACTCTCTTGACGGAGATCTCAAAGGACAAGCATAATTTCATAAAGTCAAACAGGCGTAACATTAGCAAAGACTGAAAATAAAATCATGACAATTATTAGTGCCCCTCATCTCGAGCCTTGTTCACAACTGACAAGAAAATAAAGGAAACATTTAATCAATATCACTGTGATTCAGATACATTTAAATGTCTTTTCATTTCATCACAAAACAAAACTAAATTGTTAGTGCAAGAAGCAGGTTAACCTTTCTGAGTCACAGCCAAAGTTGAAAGTTCCAACAGTATAACCACACCTACAAATCACTTACAGACCAAAATTAAGAGATTTTCTGAAAAAAAAATCCTTACAAAACTGAAAGGGGGGAAAAAATTAGAGTCGTTTTCACACTCCAGTACATTAAGATTAAGAAGGAATCAACGGCTGCAAACCTTCCCTTATCAAAAACATAAACAAGTCAGGACAAACTTACACTCAAATGCGCAGCAAAAGCAAAAATAAAACAACTACTGAAAATCAGTGATCGAAAAAAACGTGAATTTTACAGTAAGAAGTATAAAGTGTGATGAAAGGAAGGACAGATATTGGGTAGAGTACTCAACAGATCTGAATTGTCAACCCAAAAATGCTCATGTTGTCTGACCTTGTTTCTACTGAAAGCTCAGTCTCAGCGAAATAGAAAGTTGAACATGATTAATTCTATGGATGCAAGATTCACTTAAATGCAACAAAAATACTTTGATCACGACTAGAATCTAGTATACCCGGCTGTGACTTAATTATACACAAAGAAGAATGGAAAACAAATGTTTCGTAACTTATAAGGTCTATTCCAAATCCTTTTCTGCCAATCTACAATCAGTCTGCTACTTGGAAGTAAAGATGAACAGTTTTTGGTCAAAATTATAACTGTCGTATCTAAAATGGTGAAGCCTGTTCCATAGTCAATTATATTTTTTACAAAGAGTGGTTTTCCTCTTGAAAAAATTGCAGAAAGTGATACCTTTTTTAACAAAATGCAACAAAAGAGGTATGGTAGACCTTTTTTTACAAACCAAAACATATCCTCTCCGTGCCTGTCAAGCTCTTTCTGTGAGTCGCAAGATTTCACTTGTAGTCGACCAAAGTTTGTTAGCCATTCTTTCCTTTCCTTGTTATTGTAATGTCGAAATGTCGCGGTTTGTCAAAAATATGTGGAGATCTCATCAAAATTAAGGATGAGCATCCAACATAGATTTCCCCATACAATAAATATCAACTAAGCCTTACATCATGTATACTATAAAAACAAAGTTGCTCAAGATGATTAAGTAAATGGGTGAAGAATAGAAATTCTTCAATTTTCTCAAAACCAGACAAATAGATGTGTCATAATTTGTTGCAAAATTGTTCAAATATTTTCAAAAACAGACTGCCCGTCATGAATGGAAGACTCAATCCAACGATCACCGAATTCTTATCCCAACTCACATTGTACAAACTTCATATACTCCAAATAAAAACTTGAAGGCAGTTTTGGTCAATTCTCCATCAGTTTTTCTCTATATCAACACACGTTAGACCTTAAGATTAAGGAAAACACAATTACAAAAGAATAACAATATTTACAGCTTTGGTTGGGGGATCACTCAAGATGTGTAGACAGTTACAGATTTAAAAAATAAGGTTTTCTTGGTGATCTACAAATTTCGACCTTTATTCTTAGCCAAAATCATACATCCTGGGTGTGCCATTTTGCACAAAAAAGCATCCTTGCAATAGGCAAGGCTAACTTACACATCATAGAGGAGTCACACAGTAGAAGAAAACAGCTCAAATTTTCAGGGGACTCACAGTAAGAATCACACGTCACACTGTTTGCGGATCTATTCAAGCTCACACGTCTCGTGCTCTCAAGAACATGAACAGGGCAACAATACTTAGCCTTACAGTTTTCTTTATACTTTGCAACAAAGTATAAAGAGCATAACGGTGGTCCTCAGGGACCAGTGGAGTCCACACTTTTGCATAGAATCTTCACTAATTGTTTTTGATGATCTTTAACCTCTTCCTCCAGGTCAGGACATAGTCAGCCCCAGAGAGGAAGGTTGTGGTGGCTGTAGTGTACCTGAAATGTAACAAGGAACTGATCAGGTCCACCCTAGTCCATGATACTGGTACTGACAACGTGAGTATATGGGACAGAACTTGTACATGGCAACAGCAACTGCATGCAAGATTTCAAAGAATACTAATGATAAATAATAATAAATAAATAAATAGCATTTGCATAGCGCATACCACCGCTCGACAGCAAGTTCTATGTGCTTTACACTATATCATTATCCCAGCACACCATAGAACACTCAGAAACATTCTCAGCTTCCCGGGTAGCATACAGTGCAAGCAGCTGCTTAATTAAATGCTCAAAGACTAACAAACTGACAAGATCTTTCGCTGTCTATAGCCGGGTACCCATTCCCACCTGGGTGAAGTGAGGAAAATTCCTGTAAAGTGCCTTTCCCAAGGACACAACGTCAGGCCCCTGACGGGATTCGAACCCACGACCTTACAGCTGTGAGTACAAGAGCCTTACCACTAGGCCACCAAGGCAAGACAGATTTCTGCTCTCACAACATTAAACAATTAGTTTATGAAGAATGAAGACTTCAAACTAGCTAATAAAGGATGCCTGGAAAAAAGAGCCCCGAAAGCAATACAAATGAAATTCAATCAGGGGGACCTCCAGCTTGTAAACATAAAGAATATTAATCAACATGTTCAAGAAATATTAAGTGTTGAAAAATTCAACCAGACTTGGGTGAAAAGCAAAACTTTACTGATTCATCAAAAGAGTTCAGCTACAGGGCGTTCTGGTCTCAGGACTAGTATGGTAAGACAACAACAGTCAGAGCTGATGGGTAGCCTATCTTGCTGCGCTGACACTACTGAAAAAGTCTCAGGGAAGTTTGGGAAGAAGGTGTATTGTTGTTGAGGAGGCCTGGATCCACTGGGATAGGACCACACCCCACACGTCAAGAGCAGCACTTCTATAGTCGCAAGAAATGTTTGGGGTATGCCTTATATGTCAAAAGCTTACAAGTGAAAGGTCACCATAAATGCCCCCAAACTTGAACCCCTTCAAGTATTTCCTTTTGGGCTTTTTGATAGATGGTCTAAAGAAATAACCAACAAACAATTTAACAATTAATGGTCAAAGTTGAACAGGAAGTCCAAAGAATCGACACAAAAACATGCACCACGGTTATTCAAAACTTCCATCCTCATGTTAGAGCTTGTATGGGGAGAAGAGGTCAACACCAGGAGCGTACAATTTAAATAGCCACCACCTTCCCAAAGTTTATTTGGCAATATCGGTTTTATACATAAATTTATTCTCCAATGATAGTGATAATTTGAAATAGAACATCCCAATATGATTTCACTGTCAATTTTTTTAATTTTTAGCCAATATCTCCATTTTGTGGATTGTGAGTTAAGTAACTCATTTTGTCAGGTCGCCTCACATATAATGCTCTTATTTGCAAAGAGGCTGATTTTTAAGAAGTTGCAAAGTTTTAGGTTTTACTCAATTTTGGTTGAAATTTTTAAAGTTTGATTTTATTTTTTAAATGTCTGTTGATTTTCTTTATACCGGTAAATGTGACGTTTCCCTCATTGACATTTATTTGTTTAAGGTATTCCATGGCAGTAGCCAACAGCCAGAAAAAGTAAAACTAAAAGTCGATTTTGGTATCCAAAACCGATTTTCCATTTTGGACAATTTTAGTAGTGCAACATCTGCTTTATCGACTGGAAATATTTTCAAGTATCTAAAACATCTATAAAGTGCTCACATATGCCATGTTTTTTAACATTGTGCTGAAATAGATCAGTATGAATTCTGGGGGGTTTTTTTTAGTTTTCTCAAAAACTATGATTTTCTTAAGGGGGTACACACTCTACGGAACTTTACAGCAACTGCAGCAAACCTGCACTTATCACTACATGGCATTGGACAGAAGGGCGACAGCCCAGCTGTTGCTGGATCGATAACAACAACAACAACAACAACTTAGGGGGGTGGGTCACCTATGCAGAGATATTTCTGAAAGTACATGTCACAGCTCAATCCCACTTTGCATGACTGTTTCTAGATAATATGTTTGCAACATACTAAAAGATTATTGTGATATTGTAATAAGTTTTCTGTCAGTGTAAAAAAGATTGACAGTATCACTCTGATTTGTGATCAACTTTTTGTCCGAGTATCGTATATAACACTAAAAGGGCAGTTCAGTTACAAGAAAAGTAGGAGACTTAGGAATGTAAATCTTTAGTACGTTGCAGCTTGGATGTACAGAAACACTGTGTGAAAATATCAAGGCTGTATAAATTCAATCTTTTCAGAATTGGTCTGTCGAACCTTTTGCAACTAAAGAATGTAAAAAATGGACCGTGAAATCATACAGGGATAGTGTGTTTCTGTTTCTTGACCCATATTGGTTATTGGGAATCCCAGTATACTTAATTTAGAGCCCAAACAAAAATTTTCACTTCAGGAGTACCTAGCGTCCCTTAAAGATTTGTTGATGAAATTGGTCCAAATATGATTACATTATTGTCCTTTAAATCAGTCCTTTTTTTTATATACCAAGTATGTTGCAAATGCCATGAAAAAAGATAAAAGTAAGAAAGGTCATTACAAAATTACGAAGCATCATCTAAGGGAAGTAAGTCTTTATTTTTTCCATCAGCCGGTTCCCGAGGACACAAGCAAGGCATAAAAGACACTCATGAGCTCTCCCAAAGTCAGAGTGTACAGGAACAGATTACAGTACTTTATAGGACCCTGTGACACTCAAAGGGAAGAATAGTTCACCAATTTTTCAGTTTCCTACATGAATATATGTGAAGCGTGCTGACAAAATGAGTTACTTCTCGGATCAAGACTTATTGAAGAAGATATAGACCTATCACGCTTATACGTGAAGTTTTTATAATTCATTAGTATGGAATAATAAAAGGCATGTTATAGTTATAGAATATGGCATTAGTAAAAGTTCTACAAATTTGACCCCTGTGTCGATTTTTAGCCAATATTTCCATTTTGTGGATTGCGAGAAGTAACTCATTTTGTCAGCACGCCTCACATATATTGCTCTCGTTTGCAAAGAAAACTGGAAGCACTAAGGGGCCCTACACATGTACATTCAAACCGGGCGGTTTAAACCTGAGTAGAAACCGACCTTTGAACGTCCACGCAAAACCGTCATTCGACGGGCAGGTGCATCATCCACATCACGCATGGTTTACCTGCAGCGAGTGTACTGACAATGACAATTTGCTGCAGTTTATGTGCTGCTCATGGGGAAGAATTTTGTTATCTCTTTCATTATTGAAACAACACAAATTCTGCTCTGACCTTGCCTTAAAAATGTGTCGCTCGTTTAAAAAATGTAATCAGATTTTATGGATGGTAAATCATTTTGAAGATATTGGCAGTGACAAGATAAGCCGGCTAAGCCTGTGACGTCACACAAAGGCTGTCGTCGACAGAACGCCCTGAACTGTTGTCAGAAAATCCACACCTTGAAATCGCCGGTTCAGCCTCCCAGTTTAACAGTTTTCTAGCAGTTTTTCGTCCACATATTATGAAGTTCTGCCACCAGGTTTGCCTTTCCATTCCGAACCGGCAGTTTGGAACGTATATATATGTGTAGGGGGCCTAAGAAGATTGGCAAGGACAACTTGCTATTTTGACCTGACTTCTCTCTGTAACTGAGCCAAAGTGATCAAAACATACACTGATTAATAAAAAAGAAAAGTATGTGAACTGCCGAATGCAAATGTACGACTGGTGAGTTTCATTGTGGATGACTGGAGGAAGGGATGTAGGAGGAAAGTGGACAAAGATAAGCAGCAATGTGAACAAATGACAGAGCATTTGTGTGAGGGGAAGTGGGAAGAGAGGGACAAGTCATGAGCCCTGGAGAGAACGGATATTGACACCTTTCATGACTGAGAAATAAAGGCTCAGATGGAGCCCACAAGGGGAAAAAAGGAAGCTTCTTTTGAACTCTGACAAAATAAACTTACATTAGAGCCTGTAGCCAAGGGTGTCCGACAAAGTCAAAGACTGGTGAAGCTAAAGTGCATGCCACATAGGACAACTGGAATGCCGTGTTCACCTGAAACATTAGACGTCAATGAGCACATGACAATGAGAAAAAATAAATGGCTGGCAACAATCACATGTAGACAACTTGAAAAAAAAAACCTGAAATATAAATTAATTTTCACAAGGTGGATGGATACCGCTAACACTCCACAGATGATCTCAATCGTTACACAATAGCAAACAAAAATGTGAAATGATTTCACTTGACAGATTTATGACACCTGGAAAGACACATAATAAGTGGATGTTCTATTACAAAACTTACAAGAATCTTGAATGTGAAATTCATATTGACTGGCTCTCACTCAAACTTTATAGCAAGTAAAATGACAGAAATCATAACTCGACAATTTCATTTATCATTGTAAAAGGAAAAATGCTTTCATACAAGTATGAAAACTTTTTGATTTAAGAGAAGATTGGTTTTATTCCCTTCACTGTTAGGTCTGGCAAATCAACAAACCAAGCATACCTTGCTGATCAGAGAAGGGTAGAGCTTGGCTGTGACATGTGACACGTCAAAGTACCTGGACAAAGTTCTCTGGAGAAACAAATAGAAACAACATCACAGAATGTCACTCACATTATGTACAAGCCAAAAGAAAGAACATCTGTTTCACCTTTCAGAAGTCATTTTATCCTTTAAAACACTTCAGCAAAAAAGATCTTGCAGGAAACGGACAAAAGAAAGGGACAAGAAGTAGTCTTGGAGTGAGGAGAGGAATGGACAGAGAAAAACAATAGTTTTGATTTTTTTTTGGGGGGTAAGTGTTCTACGGACCCTCGCAACTGCATAAGGTCATGTGAGCACACGCCTAGTTTGGATGAAACAATATGACTATGAAACAAAGGCTCTGAGCAGCTATGATAAGGCTTTTTGTTTTGCATGCAAAAGACATAAGCTAAAATCGTACGTGAGGTCAGTGCTTTAAGGAACCTCTTCATCCGTCTATAATGAAAAAGTATCTCTCACAGTCCTAGCTGGCCCTGACATGCAAGACCAACTCAGCCTGCCTCCTACATTATCTTTAAATTGTGTCAACCGCAGAATAAAACATTAACAACCATAAATTGTGATCAGAATAGAAAAGAAGATATCAAACTGAATTCATCTTAAAAGTCTTACTGGTGGAGCCAGGGAGGTGTAACGGACGTAAAACGAGCCAGCAATGAGCCCAGCATCTCTGCCCAAGATGAGAACCGTAAGAGGAACTGAGGAGGAATGAAAACACATGTAACAATCATCTGTAAAAAAGATCACTTCCCCCTTGAGTTTTTTCAAACATATATGTCATGATACAGTAGAATCAGGCGCTCAGCCATTTTCGGGCATGCAGATTTATTGGTGTCATCTTAAATGTTGTTCATTTGTCTTGCTTTTGATTTTAAAATATCTACTTATGTTGAATGGAAGTTCAGATATTTGCGACTGATTGCGGTGGGGGTTGCCTGGTGTCAGGGATAAAATTAGTGAGATAGTGAGAAAATGGCCAGGAAATTTTTGTAGCTTCCAAAGCTGTAGAGTCCTTAGAAACTGAAATTTACTTAGATCCATCCCCCCCCCCCCCCCCAAAAAAAAAAATTCCATAAAAATAGCCCAACAGGGGGGGGGGAATGCTTGTTTTTCTGATTTCATTATTTCGATGCATGCCCGATTTCACCACAGTGCCAAACATACTACCGTATAATGACACTATCAGACGTCCACCTGTCTAAGACAATCACTTTTCTCCTCGACAATGAGTGGCCATCTTGGCCAATTTCAACTGTATTTATAAAACATGCTTCAACCGGCCATGGTCAAACAAAGAAAGCAAAAATCCTAAATTCAGCAACACCATAGCTGCCAGCTTTTCAAAACTAAAGAAGACCATACCCACGCCATGGGTAAAGATGGTGAGCATGGGCCAAGTAACTTCTCTCCAAAATTCTGAACACACTTTTCTCAATTCAATAAATCCATGCTCAATAGCTGACCATGGTAAGGGACACAACTACAATCGACTTCTGTGCTTCATTCTCATTAAATTATTCTCAAATCCGCCATTGAAAGTTCCCAATTTTTCTTCAGTATTGGCAAGTCTGAAAGAAGCAATATTAGAAAATAGAGAATACTTATTTTCGACATGAAATCCAACTTTCGTACTCAGACCCTCAAGCACTTATCAAATACATAATATTTTGCAAACCGGTTGGCAGCTATCAAAAATGCATTACTAAAGTTATAAAAACTAAAAACTGTTTACCAATTTATATTTCTTGTATATTTAACAAAACAAAGAAAATCATCATCACTTGCACTTATCCCCCCCCCCCCCTCTCCCCCGGGAAGATTTATCTAAGTCTGACATGATAACCAGACGTGGAACCTGAAGAAGAGTCATGGAAATAGATGTACAGAAAAGTGGGAAGACATGGAATGACATCAAGCGACTATCCCATGGCCTATACCCTGATCCAAGGTGATAAATGCAATAAGGATGATAACCAGAGCTATAAGACTAAGAGACAAAGTATGGGGCATCAAGCAAAGAGAGCCCAACAACAAGTTCAGAGGACCAATTCTCTCACTTACCAACATGTTCAGAGGACCAATTCTCTCACTTACCAACATGTTCAGGGGACAAATTCTCTCACCTGGTATCAGACCAGCCGAGGTCAAAGACACTGTGAGGAAGCTGATGAGGAGTTTGTCGGCCAGCGGGTCGAGAGCTGTGCCAAGTGCTGTTCTCTGATTCTTGAAATTCCGAGTGATGTAGCCATCCAGCTGCAAGACATCAGGGTTTATTGCTGATCAAGGAAAGGCGGAGGATTGTTCAAATTCTAATACAGTGGAATCCTGTTATAACGAGAGGGAGGGGACCGGTGCAAAATGTCCGTCATAGCAGGATTTTCGTTATAAGGGATCCAGTAATAAATTCAGAGGAAATAGTAAAGTAGGCCTAATCTATGAGTTTGGTATTCTGTTAAATATTCCTTTTTGTATTTCCCCAGATGATGATTTAGTTCCACATGATCTCTAGGTCTTACTTGATCAAAAATCGAATTTGGTTTTTTTTTGTGCTAGCGATGTTGACAGCTTGATTTTGGCGATCAGAAAGAAAGGGCTCTGGCTCTTGGCTAACCCGCCCTCAGTGTTGTCCCCCACCCCACCCCACCCTGTGGTGCGTTGTGTCCGCTTGCACACGTCACACATTCACTCCATCTATCACAGCATTGTGACCTCTCCACCCCACACCAGAGAAGTGAGAGGCATGGTGGGCCTAGATAATCTAGACTGGGCTGGCCTATCACGTGATGCGTTCTGCTTGTCTGCGCATGCCACACCCTCCCCACCCATTCACTTCGGCCTTCTTTGTTGGTTCGAGTGGGCTCTCCCATTCTTTGTTTCGCTGGATCACCATCAACTTTCTCAACTGGCACAGCAGCAGCAATATTCCACTATAAACCGACTCGCGAGACTGTCTGATTGCGCAATAGCAGTATTTTATTTACAGTCTACAGAGATAAAGAAGGGGTTTTAGAAAAGTGTCTTTATAACAGACTTCTCGTTATTTCAGGACTCGTTATAAGTGGACTCCACTGTATATCTGTTCCAAAACAAGACTAACATCACTTCACAATAGCTCCTAGAATCACAAATATCTCCACTTCATTATACAATTTTTACCCAATTTTAACATGTAAACATTTCTAGTAATTTCTCTCTGATGGACTTTCTTTTCGCAAGATTTCTCACATTTCTCTGCTTAAACTGTAATTTTTCTGAAGTCATAACAAAGGCAAGCTGCATTGATGGACACTCAGTAAACCATCTTGATGCAACATCCGAGATCAGGATGGTCTTCAAAACTACTATTATATATATAAACCTGCAATTTAAAATATATGTGAGGCAGCGTGGTGAAATCAGGCGCTCGTCAAAATAATCAAAGTGAAGCAACTAGCATTTCCCGCAGGTTTGTGAATTTTTATCAAATTTTTGTTTTTTGGCTCAACATCTTTCATGCCCTGTAAAGAACCGACAAACATTAATTAAAGGCACAAAAAATGTAAACTCTCAGTTTCCGTGGACTCTCAAGCTAAGGAAGAAATTTTAACTCATCTTTGGCAGCCATTTCCTCGCTAATTTTACCACTGAAACCAGGTGAACCCACTCCTTCAATCACAAATATCTCCACTTCTATTCAAGATAGAATGGATATTTTTTAAACCAAAGCAAGACAAATGAACAACCTTTAAGATGATTATACAACTCTACATGCCCAAAAATTGACTCTTTGAGCCTGATTCCACCGTGTCGTGACACATACAAACAATAACATCACAGAGTAAAATTTTCAAAAGACATTCCTCCAACTCCCCCCCCCCCTCCTTCTGAAAATTTATTAAAATATCAGCAGTTTTACTAAAACAGGTTAAAGAAACAGAAATTTTCCGGTATATGGTCAGTGTTTATATGTTTGTCAGTGTCTAAAGAATAACAATTCAACAAAGAAATTAAGAAAACGTGGCAGCTGAAAACTCACCAGATCAGTAATTCCAGCAACAACGAATATGCTGAAAGCAAGTCCAAAATGTTCATTCACCACTAGATATGACAGCACTGGGGCAGATCCCATCCGCAGAGTAGTCAGCAAGTTAGGTATTGTTTTAATATTTTCCTGCAGAACAAGTCATGATACGTAGTATTCTTCCTATAAAAATCATATCGATCAGCACAAAAGAAAAAAAACAAACAAACATCATCTCTCACAATTTGAGAGACAAAAAGACACACTGCGAAAAATGCTTTTATAAATTTTTTCTTTATATCAGGTGTAATTCATTCTTATTGTTGAGTATTGCACAACAAAATACCATTTTAACCTCATGGAACACAGTTCAGTGATTTAATATAAATGAGTTAAAAGAGTCTTTCAAAAGAATGTAAGTCTTACTCTGAACATATAACAGGAAGTTCCTCAAGGCCAGGTATCACACAACTCTGAGTTTACTGTACATATCAAGCTTACAAGATGAGGAAAACTTGTATTACAAATTACAGCAATGAAATAATAGCAAAAAGGCACAGATTTGACAGAGAAAGAGAATGAAAAGGGATGAAAAAGGAGAACACAGAAATTGTGTTACTTTTTTAAAGCCTTTCGATCTAAATAAATCCAAAAAAAAAGGTTTCTTTTAGATAGAGGCCTTTTAATTATTTAATTATAATACCTTAACACCAGTATTCAATTTCCTGCGAAGCTTGGTAACAGCAATTTCACTTCTCCGCCTATGAACAGACAAGTGTTCTTTTGCACTTCTGTTTTTCAACGAAAGTGTGTTTTTCCACTTTAAAACTCTCGATGAAATTCTTTGCTTTGTTCTGTCACGTAATCTACGTAGTCTATGTCTGTCTGTGTTGTAATTGGCATAATTCAAGCTATGGCGACTGCTTTTTCCAACGTGTCTGTCACAATTTTTTACTCTAGATCCGCCACTATTTCTATCAGTAAAAAGTCCTGAACTTGAATACTTGGTTCTAAAAAAGTTCAAACTGAAACTCAAACCCCTTTCTCGTCTTTGACTTTGGTGAAGAGATAAATTGGAAGAAGGAAAAAATCCACAGGATGCATTGGATAGATCTACTGAATGGTGGGAGTTTATGTGCAGAGATCTTACATTGACTGTTTGGGGTATTAGCATAGTGTGCAGATACGATGCATGATGTGCAGGGCTAGATCTAGATCTAAATGTAGATCTGGTATTACAAGACAAGTACGTTCCCGGCTTGATCTTGACTTGGCTCGCCGTGAAAAGGCAAAGGGATCGGGTCGATGAGAGTGCATTTGACCTGATTGGTTGTAGAAATGCCATTGCATGAAAACTGTAATGCTTTTATAGACTAGATCTAGTGCCAAGCAGTTAACTTTCGTATGGTTCTCGAACTTGTATACTGAACATTATTGATTATAAACAGACTTTTCATTCCACAGCAGACACCTTTCAACTTTCGCTGCAGGGCGCAGCCATATTGACAGCATTAACCTATCCAGATTTTGCTAGAAAAACTGCCATTGTCAAACATTTTTAAAACTTCCTTTGTGAATTTGTTTTGGCCAGGGAAGGTTTACATTACTTTGAATGCAGGAAAAATTTCACCTATAATTATGAATAATAATGATGTTCTACAAATTAGTAATGGTATATTTTTGCTTCCATTACCTTTACCCAACTTTGAACAGGCCCTTACGATTTTTGTTTCGACGTCCGACGGAGCCTATTTGGCTGCCTTCGTGAAGATTGAAGGGGAGATAACTTTTGTTGGACAACCATAGATATATAGTAGGAGGGATTGTGTATTATAATGGGTTGGGGAATCCCAAAATCGTGGTGAAAAACAAGACTAGCTGCTGGGTAGTCCGGAGCGGATTTAACAAGAACTAATGCTTTCATAATGGACACAGTTGGTCAAGAAATGGTGTTTCTAGGAAGATTTTTTTTTTATTTATGAAGAGAAAAATCAAAAGAGGTAATCACGATTAAGGCCATCTGCTGGTGAAATTTCTAAAATCCATATCCCTTGACTAAATACATTTTGTATAGCAACAATGATAATATATCATATTAGTCAGACATCAAAGTATAAATTCAAGTAATTATTTATTATTATAAGCGCGTGGTAACCATGGTAACCCAGAAAACATCCGCCATATTGGATAATTTTATCAAATTTCAAAAGCTATCTTCTCTCATATTTTTTCTTCCGTTGGCCTTTATTTTTAGCAAGTACAAACTACAACACATATGTACTGAACAAATAACTTAAGATTTGTAATATTACGATTATGAAATTAATTATGGACTCTGGAAATAAGTACATGGATAAAAAGCAACAAAAAAAACCACCTCAAAATTCCCAACAAAAACACTGATTGTAATTTTATTATTTTATTATCTTCAAGAAAGGGCTCTATTTCAGTACAGGTCACCTGTGGACGTACATGTTTAAAATCATGAACTTATCCAGATGAAAAATAAAGGAGAAGATGTAATTTAAAGTCGGAAAAAATAGATATTTTGAAAAAATGAAGAAAATATTAAAAGACATTAACTAAAATTGCAAAATATTTTTTTTCAAACCCATTTTTAAATGACTTCTAACCATAATTGATTGAAGCGGGCGCTCAAAACTTGAAGGAAATGGAAGTAGGTTTAAAAAATGGAGGGAAAAAATGCATGGTCAAACTGGGGGAAAATGGGGAAAATCCCACCCGCAGATGGCCGGAGGACCCGCCGCGGGCGTCCCAGTTCAGGGCATAAATTAAACCGTACGTCTAGCTTAGCCTATGACTTTTAACTTTGTAGGTAAATTACTTTTGGAGCAAAAATCATTTTGAGAAAACGTTTTTTCTATCAAAGCCTACTATGGTTTTCATTCCTAATGACCGCCATCTTGAATATTACGTCATATAAACAAAACTCGAATCTCCTAACTATACCGCTGGAATGGCGGTTGTATATGAGCTGAGGTTTTCGGGGGGGGGGGGGGGCATAATAATATGTTGTTCATTTTTTAAGTTATACCCAAAGTTATGCTTTCTAAAATCAAAGAAGTGAGTGGGGTAAATAGGGTGTTCAAAATTAAATACAGAGAGCAAAAGATCAAAAGGAGTAGTTATTTCAGATATATTTGACAAAGAGAATGTCTTTAACAGATGGTCAGAATATTATAATAAGAAGAAATTTTTAAAGTTAATAGATAGTAGAAAACCCGGTAATAAAGAAGTAAAAAAATGGACTACCAATGTTGAAAGCAGAAACGTACAGGCCACAGGCTGTCATTAAGAAAACCAAACAAGGAAACGATGTAAGGAAAAAAAAGCTTTCTCTGTTGAAGTGATTGTTACACTTGCAGATTTTGGGCACGTTATAATAACAACAATTAAAGCTCTTTAAAAAGACTTGGGCACTTAAATAACAACAAAGCTCTTAAATTCTATCTTTAGCGATGGTGTGATTCAAGAAAATATAATTAAGTCGATTTTTATAGCCTTACCATAATAAATACCTGGTGCCACTGAGTGTGAAATGCATGGAACAAAAAGACTTATGAGCCATTTTACGAAAATCTTGCTTCAAATTAGAACAGTGGCAGGGCGCCATTGGTGCAATTGTTGCAAGATGAAACTGCTCTTCGCAACA